ATATAATATTTTTAAAATTTTAATTAATAATGAATAAAATTTCTTATATGTCATCCACAATACTCCTAAAAAATAAATAATCAAATATCAAAATAATTTTTAATCATAACTGTAATATAACACAATTCAATATATATTATATAATATTTTTAAAATTTTAATTAATAATGAATAAAATTTCTTATATGTCATCCACAATACTCTTAAAAAATAAATAATCAAATATCAAAATAATTTTTAATCATAACTGTAATATAACACAATTCAATATAACTATAAGTATAGTCATGACATTTCACAATAATTTCATTATCTTTGCCACTTTGTTTTAAAATAAATAATTTTTACTGTACAACAAGAAACTCTATTTCTAATCATATATTTGAATTGAGAAAAATTAAAAAAAGAGATTTTTTTAATTAATTAAATTATAATGTTTTCCCCTTCTCTCTCCTCCATTCTCTTTAATTTAAATACATTATAAATAAAATATTAAAAAAAATATTTTTCAAATCAAACTACAATGTATTATAAAATTATGAAAAATATCTTTAATAAAGCTTAATTCACTAAAAATATTTTAATAATTTTAATGCCCAAACTGAAATTTGATTGTCTAATCCAACTTGAAAAACATAACACACATGAAAGTATAGGGAGCATTTGTTTCTTTATAAGGAAATTAAGTATACATTACTACTATAAAATGGTAAATGGCAAATAGTAAGTATTAAGAGCATTGTATTTGAACAGGCAAAATTTCAATTGAATTTTAACATTGCAACGAAATGACCCAAGTACAACAATGCCTACGCAAAGCAGCGCTTGGCTTGCAGCAATTGCTCATATGAACAACAACAAAGTGAAAAGGTTCCAATTAGCATTTATTTTACACAAACTGTCTGAATTTCAAACAATAACCTGAAGTAATGTACAGTGACTCCACATAAAGAGGAAGCAAGCAAAAAGTGAAAATCTCCCAACTCAGGACTTTGGTGTCTATAGCATGTTGTTTCATCAGTAGTAATGCAGGATCCATCAAAACTGTCTTACCTTCATGGCTGATGAGACAAAATTTTGCATTGCTAAGAAGCTGATCACCAACGTCATGAGCTTCTGAGCTTTCTGGAGCTGGAGGTGACTGATTGTCTGCAGATGGGCTGTCAGGATCTCCCTCATCATGGTTTGGTGGATCATCGTGGTCATCTTTCTCATCATGTTTTTGGCTGGGGCTCCCCCCATCACCATCTTTTGGGATGCCTCGTACTAAATCTGGTTGAGCTTCAACCCCAACTCTCCTCAGGTGTAGCTGTTGATGCCAGGAAACAGTTGAAACAGAATCTCTTAAGTATTTACTCTAATACCATCGCTAAGGAGTAGATAACTATATAAAAATGCAGAAAGACTGAATACCTGAAGATGTAGATTAACTTCATCGGGTCTTGATAGAAATGGGAAATCACCACCGCTTTTCAAATATGCTCGTCTTGCTCCAGAATACCTCTCAGTCAGTTGATCTTTGAGTTCTTGAGGAATTGCACAATAGTCATTTGTCTGAAAGGAAGGAGCACATATCAGCAAGAAAGATGTCAGCAAAAGCTCATTCATCTTTCCTCATCGGGTATCAAAATGTAAAACATGTTACTCTCAGTATCAATATGAATGTTGCAAGGATATTACTTTGAATAATTTAAAGCTCTTCAGTAGCAGCCATTCAGAATGGGAAATGCAAAAGATATGATATCATACATCCAAGCTTTTCAAGTAAAGGCACAAAATGTGACATCCAATGGCAAGCAAAGACATGATATCATCTTGTGCAGATGCAGCTCCAGATTATATGTGAGAACAAGAAGATAAAAACCTTGTTTTGCAAAGAAGTATGATCACCTAATGATGTTCATAAGCATACAAACACCAGAAAAAGTTTGAGATCACATACATCCATTATGGTAATAAATGAATCGGAGAGCAGAAGAGATCCAACTGAAGCAGCATCAACAGTTAGGGATAACCTGGATGCCAAATCTTCTCTTGAGAGTGTCTCAACCTGAAATAATAATACCCCAAAATTACCATCAAAATGAAAGTAATAGAGCAATCTCATTTTTGTTGATAAAGGTTTTGCAGTTAAAGTGCTGAGGAACGGAATTCATACACAAGAATCATGGTATGTGATTCACTTCAATAAATCACAGGTTTACCCATTTTCTAAGTTGAAAGGGTCAAATGACTAGATATTCTCTCCAGCTTCAAGAAACATCATGAACTTTGCCCCTCTGACAAGCACAATTTAATGCGAAAATGCAGAAATATTGCAAGCAATTGGGGGCTCAAAGCTATATTGTACAGGGTTAGACAGAACAGGAGGTTTGCAAAGTTTTGGAAAATTTGATGTATTTTATTCATTGTAGCAGCTAAAGAGCTGCATTGCTTGTACAGACAGTCATTATTGGAAAAATAGAGTTCAAATCTTATCCAAAAAATAAAAATAAAAACTTAATACAGAACAAAATGCAAATAATAGCAATGATAAAAGATAAAGGCCCCAGCTTTCATAAAAGTCTACCTGTGAAACAACAAAGTCCACAGAGTCAGCGATGAATGGTTCATGAGGGCCATCACGAATTCCCGTCAAGACATATCGTTTCAGCAAAAAAGAAGGGGTCCAGCTAACGCTGCATGTAAGCATATCACAACTTCATGAGTTAATATCATATAACTTTCATGCAGTTAGCTACACAAACCATGAAAGAAAAAGATATGATAAAAAGTTAAGGAACTAATGGAAGATAAACATTTTTTTTTTTTTGTTAATAGAAGAAGATTTTTATTCTTGTTATATGTCTGAGAGACTAATGTATTTTATCCAAATGGCTATTGTTATTATAGTGATCATTACATCTTCGAAGTATATTAAAAGGTGAATAGCTTTCAGTCTTTCACATGCTACAAAAGGGGATAGGATAGGTATTTATTTCTAAGTTGCCAGACAGATGAATTACAGCAGCATAAAAAAGTAGAGTAAAAATAAAAAATACGCCAATTTGATGATTTCCAACCTATAGTTATTTTAAGCAATGCGAATACATACACAGGAGCCCATGGCATTGCAGCTGCAAATATGCGTGTCTCCAAAAAGGTATTTGAGAGAATCAATGATCGAACACGTCTTGGACGATGCTGAGCAAAAAGTTGTGCTAGGAAGCCTCCAAGGGATGTACCATAGAGATGTATCTGTAAGATACCCATTTATCAGTCTGCTAAAATAATATTCAGGGTAATATCTACAAAAGAAACACACTCAAAAGGAAAACAGATACTGCCATGCCATGGAGTATAGCTTCAATGTTGGGCTTAGATATTTTGTGTAAAGATTACTCTGCTTTGTAGTCTGTTTGAGAATTTATTCTTTCCCGTTGTATAGAGTTCAGTAGTAGCCTGAACGTCAAAGCAGTGCTACCTTCTATATTGATTTTCAAGGTACCAACAAATTCACATTTTAACTTAAAAAAATGTAGCAGTAAGGACAGACAGGCTATCAGAAGATCCTACATGATGGACATCAATAGCATCCAAAAACTTCTCAAAAGATTGAATCCACTCTTGGTGATTCCATACACGTGGAATATCAACTGAAATCACCCGGTAACCCTGAAGATTGCAGAAGAGTATGCTATTAGACTAAAAACAAGCAAAGGCAAGGCAACTGAAATAATTCATCATAACAATACCCTCAAATAAATTGAGGAAAATTACAGCCCAGAGTTTCCAAGCTGAGCACCAATAGGCAAAACAAGAATATATTTTCACCATGCGAGAACAGTTGCAACTTTTTTTTATCAAACTGATAGTTTTTTGGCTCTATTTTGTCTAGATATAAAAGGAACTACAGAAAAAGATAAAGAACTATTGGCAGGTGTTTTATACAAGAAGAGGATATATCTACAACATATCAAAGCTGCCAACTTTTCTGACATGAAAAGAATCCTGTTGTTCAAATCTCATTACCTTCATGGACAATGACATGATCTGTTTGTAATACACATCTGCTGTCCCTGCTGTTCCAGGAAGACAAATGAGCGGAGGAACCACTTTGGGACCAAAATCATAATATCGCCACTGCTTTGTACCAATCTATCAGAGGAAGAAAAATGTTTAAATTTAAATCTAAGAACCAACATAACTGAAAATTACGGAGATCAAAGAAGAATCTTTCTCATTCTCCCTATGTGACTCACCCATCAACCCTGCTTCAAGAAAAGACTTAAAACCAAGCAACTGCCAGAAACCCATGGTATAGTCTAGTATACAGAGTTTTAGATGAAAATCTACTTTCTTGTTAAAAAGAGAAAACAAAACCAAAGCTATTAGTGTTCGAAATACAATCCATCTTTTAAATGCAATCAAGCAACAGCTAACTCAAGCTCACAGAAGCCAAATAATTAACACAATTGCTAAAACAAAAACAAACCCAGTAACAAAAAACATGGTATTTGATTAACCCATGATCCAAAAACACAAAAAAATGGAAAATTTTCGAATTAGGAACGAAGAGGAAAACGTAGACAGTGAAACCTTACCGGGATCTTGTGAAGGGGGACCTGAGACTTGAAGTGGACGTAGTCGCCGGGCGCCGAGAAGACGCCTTTCATTGCTAATTGCAGTGACTACACATTCATCCAATTCCACCTTTGAGTCGGAACCAATGTTCTTCGATTCATCGATCAAAATCACACCCTCATCTGCCACTCTCTATGTATTGGGAAAAATTTTTTTTTAATAATTTTTCGTCGTTATTTCTAATTTTCTTTGACTTTTTTTTTTTCACGAAAACGTGGCTTACGGTCAAGTAACGGTAACGTCTGCCAACTGCTCGTCAGCGTTAATCTATGGGTGCGCATTGTGCACCATCGTAATCTAGTAGCATTCGGCGCATTTTAGATGTCTACGCCGCCTAGGACGATACTAGTATGAACTATGGAGCCTGTGAATTCAGTCTCGGAGAGTTAGAGCCGCCGACTGCGCTGGTTTTTTCACCGTGACTAACCAATTTTCGTCACTGCTAGAGCTAACCACGACCTCCTTCCTACCGTCCTCCGGTTGCCGGCGAATTGAACTCAGTGAACAAGAAAGTCAGGCTGTAGACCACCATTTATAGCCGATCAAAGGGAACTTTTGTTGCTTATGAAACGAGAAGCTTAGGAATGGAACCTGGGAGCCGAAGAGCTTACTTCTTGCCTCAGGCACTGAAAAGAGACCTGAATGAAGATAATTGGCTGAAAAGGGGGAAACTTTGCCGGTTGAACACCGCCACTCTGTCGACTCGAATTTTCTAAGTTCGCAATGGGGCGTTCTTGATTTAAGGGTAATATCTCTTTCTTTTAGATACAGTCATGTTTCTCAAATTCCGTGATATTTTCAGAAAAATACAATCTTCAGAACCGAGAATACGAAACCCATGCTCTGCGTTGTTTAGATATTGTCATTTTGAGAAAAATGTTGGTTTTGATAGCTTAAACCCTACACATTTTGTGGCTCAAAAAACTGCACAAAATAATGTTGCAATTTTCTGGGATTTGGATAACAAACCTCCAAAGACATTCCCTCCGTATGAAGCTGCTATTAAGCTAAGAGCGGCAGCATCTTCATTTGGGGTTGTTAGACACATGGTAGCATATGCTAATAGTCATGCATTTAGTTATGTGCCACAAGTAGTTAGGGAGCAAAGAAAGGAGAGAAAGTTGTTGAATAGATTAGAGAATAAGGGCGTGATTAAGCCACCTGAACCATATTTCTGTCGTGTTTGTGGAAGGAGATTTTACACGAATGAGAAGCTTATTAATCATTTCAAGCAAATTCATGAGCGTGAACATAAGAAGAGGTTGAACCAGATAGATTCTGCTAGAGGGAAGAGGAGGGTGAATCTGGTAGCTAAATACTCAATGAAAATGGAGAAATATAAGAATGCAGCAAGGGATATTTTGACACCAAAAGTGGGGTATGGTTTAGCGGATGAGTTGAAAAGGGCAGGTTTTTGGGTTAAGACTGTTTCCAATAAGCCACAAGCTGCAGATGTTGTGTTGAGGGATCACATGGTAGATGTTATGGACAAGAGGAGAGCTGAGTGTTTGGTGCTTGTGTCAGATGATTCAGATTTTGTGGATGTTTTGAATGAGGCAAAGTTAAGGTGTGTGAAGACAGTTGTTGTGGGGGATATCAACGATGGAGCTTTGAAAAGAGTTGCAGATGCTGGATTCTGTTGGAGGGAAATATTGATGGGGAAGGCTAAGAAGGAGGCTGTATCAGTTGTGGGGAAGTGGAAGGACAGAGATGTGTTAAAGATTTTGGAATGGACATATAACCCAGATGTAGAGAAAGAATATGATTTGAATGGTGAGTGTGATGATGAAATGGAGGATGATTTTGTGGATGACATTGTTGGTGGAGATGATGCTGAATCTATACAGAAGGGAACTTGGTGGGAGCTGGACTCAGATTCGGATGCCTCTTCTTCCCAATCATTATGATGAGTGGATACAGCTTTTAAGTTTGTAAGTTGGCATCCTCCATTTATCTTCTTTTGGCTTGCATATCTGGCTTGTAGAGCTTGGTAAATTGTCCTGTAAATTTTTACTTCTTGTTCCCTTTTACCTTCTGTGTGTCTATTCTCTATTAAATCATAAATGAAGTCTTCAATTTTCTAATATGTAGGTATATGATACCCTGAGACTGAATTGTGGAGACAAATAAAGAAAATGGAAATTTAGGAATGTTTTGGGTAGATTAAAATTGCTAAGCTGGAAATTAAGATGCATAATTCAGGAAAAGAGTAGAAGAGACCAAAGTCGAGATGAAAAAGAAAAGCTGCTTCCAGTGTAATATGCTTCAGATTCTTAGGCTTCCTTTAAACAAATCTGACAAAACTCCATATCAGAGTCTATGTCTCAACACAAGAATCCAAATGGAAATTTAGTGATCCAGTACCTTGACATTTGGTATAATCCACCTGATGTGTTTAACAAACAAGGTCTGGTTCCTACCTTCATGATCAAGTCACTTAAAAGCCTTACTTTTATCTACAACTAACAAGCACATGCACAAAATTCTTACTTCATTTTAGTACTGAAGAAAAACGAAAAATGGGTACCTACACGGTTGTCTCTGTTACTCTCTAAACAAAGAATGATAACTATCATCTATAATTCTATACTTAATTCCTTCCAATGTTTTTCAGATCATGATTCCGACATTAGCATTTACAATATGAACACCACAATCTAAGTCACACTAGTTTTACCTGTCATAGCATTTGCATTTGTTCTCAAGGAAACCAGAACAAGTCAACATTACGCGTTCCAGTGATTAACTAAATAAATGCCAGCAAGATAAGTTGCACAAGCACTATTTTCCAAGTCTTGAAACCAAAGACTAAGAAAAACCAAAACAACATGTTCTACTCAGAGACCAGTGCAGACTTGTGGTAGCATAAGCCATAAATGCTCTATGCTCAACCTAAAAAGGGAATCCAAAATTATTCATCTCAGTAGACAAAATGATGTTAGAATAACATCAAATGCAACTTAAGGAGAGTAAACATGATAATCCCCAAGTCTTCCAACAAAATGCAAGTAGAAACAATAAATGAAATATAATAGGCAAGATGGTATAACAGTTTACTGCAGCAAATTCTACTAAGTTACTGAAATGGTCTCAAGATGATTAAAAATAATTCCAACAATCAGAATATGTTGTAGTCTATCATTCAAGGACTGTACATGCTAAAACATCCAAAAGTATATCCCTGAAGAAAGAGGAGCAAACATCTGGCTAAACAATCACAAATGTTTCTTGTTTTCCCTGTTGTTATGAATTGGGTCTGAGCTTAATGAGAAAGCCAAACATCAAGCAAACCACTTTCAAACAGGGTATTTTCCCTTATAAAGTCAATGATCAAATAAGCAACCAATAAAACGAAATGATAAGAATAAAATTCACCAAGCAGCACTGTTCTTCTTCTTTGAATTCGAATATTTGAGGTACCACTGCACGAACTTCTTCAGTCCTGCCTCCAAATCAGTTGTTGGTTTATAGCCAAGCTCCTTTGCTGCCAAACTGATATTTGCATGAGTAAACTCCACATCTCCATTTCTTGGCAATGGCAATACCTTCTTCTTCGCCTTCACCTTTAAAATCTTTTCCAATATACTCACAAGCCTACTGACAGGCACCGGAGATGTGTTCCCCAAATTGTAGATCCTGAATTGCGCTGCACCATTCTTCTTACCCCCACTTCCTGTACTCTTCTTTGCCGTATCCAATGCCCCCAAACATCCCTTCACTATGTCATCAATGTAAGTGAAATCCCTAGCCACACTACCCTTATCGGGCGCTTCAAAAATGGTGATCGTTTTCCCTTTCAACATATCCTTAGTGAAAAAGAAATAGGCCATGTCAGGCCGCCCCCAAGGTCCATAGACCGTGAAGAAACGCAACCCAGTAATTGAAAGACCGTAAATGTGATTGTAAGTGTGCGCAATTTCTTCACCGGCCTTCTTCGTTGCAGCATATAAGCTCGCCGGACGATCGGTCCTATCTTTCTCTGAAAAGGGTACCTTGGAATTCAACCCGTACACCGAACTCGAAGATGCCCACACTATTGCAGGTTGTGGGTTAGCCGATTTGCAAATCTCAAGCAGGTTCACAAACCCGGCTATGTTGCTGTGCACGTAAGACCCCGGATTTTGCATAGCATAACGCACTCCAGCCTGGGCGGCAAGGTGCATCACATGAGTGAACTGGATGGCATCAAACAGCTGCTGGAGAGCCCTCTTGTCGTTGATGTCGCCTTCAACGACAAAAACCCCAGCCTTTTCCAGGAGTTTTTGGCGTGCCCTTTTAAGTTTTGGATCGTAGTAATGGTTGAAGTTGTCAAGGCCGACGATGCCATCGCCACGGCTCTTGAGAGCAAGAGAGACGTGAGTGCCAACGAAGCCAGCAGCGCCTGTAACTAAAACGATACGCCCTGATTGTGAAAGAGGACGTGCAGATTTGCGAAGTTTATACGGGAGGGATGACGTGGAGCTAATGCCAGTGGAAAGATTGCGGCGGGGGGTGGGGGAGGAGGACGGGGAGAGAACGAGGAGGAGAAGGAGGAAGAAGACGAAAACGAAGGAGTAGAGGGTAAGTTTGGAGGCATAAGAGGAGTGAAAACGGAAGGCTTTGTCTGGTTTTAGTTTCCCTGGAGTGGAGGGGATGCAGTCAAGGTGGGACATTGGGGTCGCCAAATTGAAGATTTGGGATTTTTGTTGGGGTTCCAATGTGAGGGATTGGATCAGAGGCGGAGACAGGGAAGGCGGTGCGGTGGCAGTGGCGTTGAACGGAAGACTGACTTTGAAGAAGAAAATTGGGGTTTCTTTGTGGCAAAGGTATATAAGGATCTGGCAAAAACGTGTGAAATGGAAAAGCGAGAAATTCCAGAATTCAGAGTGAAATTACCGAAGACTTTGGCAGCTGTTACCATAAAAAATAGGTTTAAAGCCAACTGTCGTCCCTCTACTTTAATATTTTATTCGTTCTTGTCCCTCTACTAAGGTCATGTTCGTTGTCGTCCCTCTACTTGGCTTTTTTTGTTCGTTGTCGTCCCTCCACTAACACCGTCCATGTTGCCGTCACTGCTGACCGTTAAGTCCCAGACGGTCAGCAGTTAAACCCATCTCTTTTTTTTTTTTTTTTCCACATATGCTGCCTCACTCAGCCAGCAGAGCAGCCATGCTGGTCAGGATCAACACCCTCCTCCAGGGATACTCAGGCATTCGATTTGAAATTTTAGAGGCAATCACAAAGTTCCTCAACCAGAACATCACTCCATGCTTGCCACTCCGCGGCACAATCATCGCCTCCGGCGATCTCGTTCCCCTGTCCTACATAGCTGGATTGCTTACGGGCCGTCCAAATTCTAAGTCGGTAGGACCCAACGGAGAAACCCT